TTAGTCAGATTAAATTTCTTATCGTTACATTTAAGGAGGAGGCTTTTGGATGCTCTTTTCCTCGTTAATGTCTTTAAAGGCAAAATTAGTTGTTCATCGGTTTTTGATACAGTTAGTCTGTGCATACCTACTAGGTCTATCAGAGACTATTCTACCTTTACTGTACAACGTAATTTCAAGGCCAGTCCCTCTGCCAGATGTGTTTCTGGTGCCAATGCAGTCTGAAGGAGCATCGACATCTTTAACAAAAATCTTATCGCCAATTACATTTTTGTGAAAATACGTAAAGTTCTATTCGATGTAATGAGTGCTTTGAGGGTGCAAATACATTCTACCCCATGAGTCATACATGTATGTCTCGCAGCTGTTTTGCTTCTTTGCTTGTTTAAATATTCATGATTCATTCGACGACTTTGTCAGTGCGGATGTCTATACACACGTCAGTATTAGGATGATGACTGAATATCGTTAATAAATTGGAAGGAAAATGTAAGGGAACTGCCGCGTTATGTAATTGGGTTCACCCATAAAGAGCCTGTGTCCCACCTGCACCAAATAAAATTAAAATAAATAATGCTGTGAGAAGTTTTCAACAATCTATTTCTTCATTTTCTAGTTAAGAAATTATTACTTTGAAGTAAAATAGGCAATCAGGTTATATGAAAAATGGTTTCTAAAGACGACAATAAAATTACTTTTCCTTTATTTTAAAAGTGCTAATCCGTGTCACAGAAAAACTCACAATAATCTATCACAGCCATTAGATGTACAATGGTTACACTACGTAAAGATGGCAATATCACACATATGTGAATCAGAAACAACATATAACGCCGGTTCTCCCAGGCTTACAGCACAGCAAGATCGCAGACTGATGGCAGATCACATGGACTAAACACATGGAAAAGTTTCGTACCATACTGGGTCATATCATAAAAATGACAAGAAAACTAAAATGATTAAAAGTTAATTTTAATACAAATTTATCACAATTACTTGTATTATAAAGACACTGTTACGTGTATATAACATCTTTTTCTCATAAAATGTTATGTATTTTAAGGATACAACACACAGCCAACTCCAAACAAGGGCTCACAGGCCAAAAACAGTCAGGTTTTAAAATGTAATAATTTTATGATACAGTAGATTTGAATGGGTTATACGAGTTTACTCTGTAATTTGTAAAAAATCTCCTGTCATAAGACTCTTCAGATTAAACCTCTTATACCATCAGAGGTAACAGCACATGACAATATTTTAAAATATCCTTAAAACAAAAGTCGAATAAGACTTGTTCATCTATACGTACGTGCATGCACTGTGCTCCTCAACTTCAAGTAAACATTAATATACTCATTAAAAGGTTAAAAACAGACAACCCGAGCTTCCATATACGGCATTAAGAACATAAAAATTCTTAAAGATTGTTTCTTCCCATCAAGAGAATCAAGATACCCGGATTTGTGCCGAATGAACTGAGATCCTTTCTTCGTTAAACCTGGTAATAATTGCTTGTTCTCCAGAAAATTCAACAACAGTGTGATTTCCCCAGTAGAATTGACGTAAGTGTCTCAACTGTTTCCGTTGAAGAATGTCTTTAAATAAACCCTTGCTTCCATCATGTATTATGTACAGCCTTCTGACATTCACAAATCGAGACAAAATATATTCAGCAACGCCAGGTTTATAAAAAGCAAGCTGGAGACACTGAACAGACTGAAATACTGGCAGAGGAACTCTCTCAAAGTACGCTATTAATGTCGATTCTGACTGATGACACAGTCCCCTGTGAAAACTAATATGCAGGCAATGCAACAGGGGGCAGTATTTACAAATGGATTTTAAATCCAAGACGGTATGCACGGTGATGTCCAGGTATTTCAACTGAAGCCCGATCACCCGAAGAACTTCTTCTGCAAGTTTTAATGGCACATAAGTGAGAGTGAAGTTTCTCAAATGAGCCAAGTGCTTCAGTTGGACCACGCTCAAAGATCGCACATTGCGAAGATAAAGCGATGTGAGATTTTGAAAGTTGTCGACAAGCAGATCTATGTGAGCCTTCAATGGATTGTCACATCCAAAACTCTTCAACAGCATAGACAGGCATACAGGATAATAATTTCCTGGGACTTCAGTTTTTGCAAGTGCAGTAAGTAATTCTGTCAAACCACTCTGGGATATGTATGTCCCGCACACGTTAAGCTCTTTCAGGTACTTGAACTTTGTAAGGAAGGGCAAACTTGCATTACTCACACGAAAAGAATTTGTCAGATCCAAGCTTACCAACTGCTTGCAGGATATTGAAAGAAATTCCACATCTTTATCGCTGCAATCCCACGATGAAAACTGCTCCAACTTCTCTGGGATATATGTAAGACTGTATTTACACTCAGTATTATTCCAAGCCCATCCTAACTTCAGAACTTTCAAGTTCTCCAGCCTGGACAATGCGAAATAAACGAACTTGGATGCCCTTGGTTTGTAATAATCAATCAGTTTAGGATGTGAATTGATTTCTGAACATTCAAGTCGCATCACATCCGGATGTATGATGGCACACAATATTTCTGAAGCCACATATTCAACGGAAGAAACTCTCTCAGTTTTATACAATTTATGGTAAGTTTGATCGAGATGTCTCAGTAGCTTGATGGTCACATCATTAGCGAGAATGGGTGGCACCGTTCTCACAATCATCTCTTGCAACTGGCGGCAGGCTTCCTGCACGTAGTGTTTTTTCATCAACACTGCATCTGTGCACGAGAGAAAGTACCTCACAAGTCGTATCAACAACTGTGACACACATTTTCCAAATGCATCAACTGCAAGGTTACAGAGTCGATCAGGATAATTAAACACCTCCATGCTGGAAGTAAATATCACAAAAATATGTAAATATTATTTTATTACAACAACAAACTTTATTAAATTAGTGTAAAATCAAAACTGGATAATCCAAAGTCAAATGATATTGATTTCCAGTAACAGTCACGTGTAAGACAATAATTCTGGAAATGAATTTTAAAGTTCATTAATGTCGTCTTTACACGACACAAACATTTCTTCATGTCTCATACGTAACACGTCACAGGTTTTAGACTGATTGATCCCATCAACATATAAGACATGAAATATTTGTGTGTTGAGTAAATTCAATTCAATTCATTAATAAACTTATAAACTTTCATTCATAATAAGACAATCCTGCACAATTTGGAAATGAGGTTTAAAAGCCGGATGAGTGATGGTCAGGCCAACTTACACTTTGTATTCCATACGAACACAAATGTCAGGATGACTCAGAATAGTATCAGATTCGAAATAGAAACCGCTTGAATGAGTCCAGCAGCTTATAATGGATTACCCAACTTGTCTTGATTATTATTACTATTTGCTGACTCTATCATTATCGCCCTGAAACGTCAGTAAACTTTTATCACATTACGCAGCGCAAATGTAAGGTAATCTATTAATCTAAACAAATATCTGTGTCGCTTTCATCCTGCAAAATAGATGTTATTCCAAGGGCAATTACTGCATTCTCCATTTTTATTTCTGGATTTCTTTTGTTTTCTCCTACTCCATCGTATTCCTCTCCTTTCCGTTTAACAAAGCTTTAGATGGGAGTCTAAAGGCTAGTTTACACGGAGACACTACGTTTCAAAATCTGGTAGATGTTGAACAACGTTTCAGCCCACAAGACAGCCATCTTCGTGCTCACGGCAGTCAAAAACTCGAATCCTAGTTTCGCAGTAAAGTTTCAAAACTACATTTTAATTCTCTACGCACGCTCCATACAGAGTGGCGACACTAAAAACGAACTTATTCGCTTTCAGCCCTTTCCAACTTCAGGAACACAAAACCAAAAATTTCATGATATTTTAAAAATTGTATTTTCTTTGAAATGTCGAAAGCTGTTGTCATGAAGTGGGGAAATGGATTCCTGGACGTTTACATGACTACGACAATATACTTAAGAACAAAACAATACGTCAGCAAAGTTGCTGAATCTCCAACTACGATATTCTTTGTCCATTCCCGGGCCCAAGCACATTTCTTCTTAATATGTGCAGTTTTCAAGCACAAAGTTAGCATCTCCGCCACAAATTGAAAACCCATTTTTAAAATCAAAGTCGATTACAAAATGCCAAGACATGTCTCGAAACAACACTGTAGAACCTTTGCTTACTTCGGCGAATCTCGATTTTCAAACCTACTGTCTCCATGTAAACCAGACGTAAGGAAACAATTTTCTTCCCTTCATTTACCGGGCCCCTAAATAATGGGTCTTTTACACACGTTCAGAATATCACAATATTATAAATACCAGCGCATTGCTGTCATCGTGGTTAAACACGACGACCCCCATTCTCCTACCTGCTTGTGAAATTAACCACGCACCTACACCCTCTGTCTGCATGGCTTAGTTAAGCCCCAGGGAAAATATTACCTTCATCTTCCAAAAAATACATTTTTAAGCATTGCCACTATGAATCACACCCTACTCATTTATTCGAAATGTCTATATGAACGGAAACATTTTCGTATCAACACTAGGCCTTTTGTACACGTTAAATCTTAAACTCACCTTTTTGTTAAATAAATTTAAAACAACGTGTGACCACAGTATACACACTTAAATCCAACCACAACACTACACGACTGAAATTAATGTTTCCAACTTACATTCCACTGAACTCACGGAATGCCTTCCTCTTACCCAAGCACTGGTAGGTTGTTATCTGTCCTGATGGTAAACAGATACAGGAGCAAACCCTGAGCCACAGTGCTGCCAACACACGAGCGACGACACGGCAGCTCGAAAGTTGATAATTGATTGGAAATAATACGGAGGTGGTCGTGACCTAATCTAGCTCGGCGTGGAGATGGCAATTAGCGTCGTGCATTCTGGTAGATATTAAGTTTCATTTCAGAGGAATTTACTTCCTCCATTGTCAGGGTGAAGAATATTCCGCGCGCCCCGAAGGGTTGCGGTAGAATAACATAACCTGCATTATGACCAAGTTGTATACAGCCTTTCTTCCCACAGCTTACTGATCGCCCTGATAATGGAAGCAGGAAGCGCCTCAGAAACATCGGTCAGTATCTAGCAGAGTACACGGTGCTAAAAAAACCATCTTCTACTCGTCGCCGTAAAAACGCCAAACCTCACCTACTATATAGCACATACATTTGCCTGGAGACGAGGAAAACCACGATATGTGCCATGGCTGCTTGTTCCCAGGCCAAGATTTGAATTCGGGACCTCCCACTGACGAATGCTAGCCACTCGGCTGCGACGTTGAGTACGGAATCATCTAACTATAAACTTTCCACCATAAAAAAATGGCTTACTTTCTGAGAGTTGAGGTTTTCATAACAACAGAAATTTTGATTGTGGTTTTCTGTTATGACAGTCTTGCAAGTCATTACCGTTTCAGGGATCATGTCAAATCCACCCTGAAGATAGAGAACATTTTCTTTCAAAGCACTGGTAATCGCCTACACGGCGTCACAACCGAGAATACCAGTTACCAACTACAGTAAAACCCCTATATCTTGGACACCCCTTTATCCTGGAACTTGAACATTTTCATGCACTTAGCTTCAATACTTTTATGGGAAACATTTACAGTTAGTATTTTGTTATTTTGAATTTCTTACTGATGAATGCCTTCTACCTGAGGATTAGCTTATGGTTAAGGGTGTGAGAAACTGAACCCATCATTGGAATGCAGTGAAAGTGTATAGTTATTCTTTTGTTAAACCCTTCACAGTTTTAACTTTGTCAGTACAAAGTACAACTCGGGAGACAGTGGTAAACCCGCGTTATTAAGGGAGTGCATTAGAAAAATCGGTACAGTACTGGACGTACAGTATTGATAGACTATCGCCATTTAAGAGTATACATACTTATTTGACTATGCTACGATTGATTTTTACGGAAAAAGTAATAAATAATTAATTTGGCTTGCATTTTAATATAATTTTGAGTTCTGTGTGAAGGATAATTGATGAATTTTTTTTCGTTTTTGGCTACACTATGGCGGACATGAGGTACCCGCGTTATAGCGAACGGCGTTAAAGAGGGGTTGTACTGTACTGTGCTTACACGGTTCCTGCCGGCAACTCTAGAAAGCAAGTTCAAAAGGCCATCGAGAAGCCGTGGATTCATGTGACCAAATTGACAAACTAGTACCAAATTCGATAGTGGGCTGTATTCCTTACTTTGCCTTATTTATCATGGGTACTTTATAACCTCACTTTACCTACTTATTAATAATTCCTACTTCAAAAAACCACGATGACATTCTCATAAGGACTTGTGTTCTTCGCCGGTAACAAACCTTGTTAATCGTCTTCATTATTACAGAGGTTCGTCGTTTACTTTGGTCACGAGATCCATTTTAATAATATCCTAAGTAGGACTTTAGATTATCACTGCGGAGTACGAAGATGGCTGTCTTCTGGGTTGTATAACGCTGTAGTCTGGTAGAAGTTTAGTAACTTTTCAGAGGTCCTTGCTGCCTTCATTATCAGGGCGAGCCTCTTCCCAAAAATAACCTGATATAAAATAACAGTAACCTCAAATGTTCTCACAGCGTCGTTAGATAATTCAATCAAGGCTTACTGGCATTCACGCATTAAAAGAAAAATACATTAATGACAAGAAGATAATAAGGGCAGGCTATAAACAGATCGGACTTCATTCAGGCTGGAATAAGAGGAAGTCTGGATAGATCGTACTGGATTTCACAAACATGAAAATAATATCATGTGACCTATCCTTATCAAGGCCTCAAATCTACTTCAGACAATATTTTGTAATATTTCCCAGAATGCAATTCTTATAATAAGCAAAGAATATAAAAAGAATACATTTTTGTAACACATCACATCACATCACAAAATATTTAAATGCCACACAAAATATCAACGCCTACTGCGCGCACATTACACTGTTCACTGCATCGCAAGAAACAGCGTTCATGCCAATGGTTCTTTTCCAAACCAACCAAAAATGCATTTAGAGATTAATATCCGTCTATTCCAAGTTTCCGTATTACACGTAAGACGAATCGAGTAAAGGTCTGACTTATATCAGAATCAAATCATCAGATTCAGACTCTAATATAATCATAATAAAAGTAACCCATAAAAATATTAAATTACAAATGGATACCTCTGGAAGGGGGGGGGGTACGTATACATGAAAGGATAATATTAAAATGGGTCTTAAAGATATTAGGTGTGAAGTTGCTGACTGAATTCATGTGGTTCAACATATGATCCCACGGAAAGTACCGTCAGAGCAATGACGGACCTTCGGGTTGCGAAGAAGCTCGGAATTTTTTAATCAGCCAAGCGATTACAAGTGCCTCGAGGATTCTGCTACATGGAGTCGGTTCAACAGAATTATGCAGAATCTATTCAGAGTTGCACTTTTTAAGACATTCAGACGTAAAGAAGAAAATTTCCAACGCACAGTAAAACAGCTGATTTTATATCTGTAGAGGCCTAATTAATTCACACTTACATATTTTAAACTGCACAGGATTACCATATGTTGAACGGCGCAATTTAGTGTCAGCAGTGTTGAACACTAACCTTCACTAACAAATAGTTACCTTGTTCGAGCTGTGACGCATTCTACAGTAAGATTTCTTCTTGCTCGCTATATTCAATTACGCTCTGATCAAAATCTTCACCCAAGAAGATCGCTACAACTTTGTCTACAACCAAAATATGCAAAAATTTCAAACTTCAGTGAAGATATGTTAGAACACAGTAAACAAAAGATAAGTATAAACTTAAATAATAATACGATCGTTTAAAGCGGCAACACTACGAATGTTAACTGATGGTATAAAACCCAACACCTGATTCATACTTGTGCAAAACACGGCAAATATTCATTAGCATACTCTTAATGTATTTCTTTGGTCATCGGTGGAGTACCAAAGAATTTCATTCCTCGGCTCCTAAATGATCTGAAAATAAAAAGTAAGATGGAAGTGAATTAGAACCATTCATCAATTACGAAATTATAAAAATACATAATTACAAATTTAAGTTGTCGCTAAATGTTGTTTGTAAGTCAAACACAATGTTGCCAAAACAGTAAAAATTCATCTTCACGGTGACGGGTTCGTTCCACCGCCATGGACCTTACTTGGAAGCCGGAGTGAAGACGCTCCTTGAAGCGCTGCCCACGGGCGTGCGCAGACACTGTGTTGGCGTCAGGTAGATTTCGGAAGGCGGATTTGTAGGCAGTCCAGAGTCCACATTTACAAAGTTGGCCCAGTAATCACTCGGAATGTTCATGAGGTGTTCGACGACCTGCTCAGAAATTAATGTTTACTCCACATTTCAGTCAGTCAGAACGCTGACTAACCAATTCCATGCGAGACGCTGATAGGATGCTCAAATAGTCAAGAAATGCCTAATATTTTATGGTACCAGATGAATCCGGTTCAAACAGAACATGAAGGTTCCTTCCGTTCATAACGCACATCGGACACACAAAAAGATACATACGGTGATGCGTGCAGACAAAGTTAAACGTGCGCCTAAAAATCTGAACAGCACCGAGTTAACAAAGCATAACAATTACTTACCGCCGCCTGTTTTTTAGTTTCATTTAACATGGTGAGAGGTTCAGGATCCATGCTAGAGTACCCTACAATAGTTGGACCAAATATTTTTGCGAGGCTAGACACTGGCATTTTGCAATCGGGACATAATGCCACCCTATGAAAACAAAAATACATACAAAATTTATGTAATGGCACTTTCATGAAATAAAAACTATCCTTTATGTGGATACTGCTTGCTCGTTAACTAATTTATAATAGTTTATGAAAGACTCTCGGGCTGCAAGCCGCATCACATGGTGAATGAACCATTTCTTCCACCAACGTTTCGAGAGCCGTCTCTGCTCTCGTCCTCGGGGCAGCCGTGAAACGAATTTATAACAAGTTGTCTGGTTTCTATTGCCATTTCCACACTTTCTTTTTTGTTGTCAAAAGTGTTTCAGTTGGTTGTAATAATGTGTTGTTTTTTTTAACATGAGATCACGGACACTGCCAGACACTTCGTATTCAATTATTTAAAGTGAAATGGAGAACATCAACAGAGGCCTCACACTGGTGCCAAGTTGCAAAAATGCATAACAGCCAAAGTTCTGTCTCTTGGCACAAAATCTGTCATTTGACCACTGTCATGTTTGAATCCCACTTTAATGACCATGACCACATGAAGAGCGCACAGTATACACATAATTATATAGTTTGTAAATTATATCCCAATTGTTTAAGCTACAAATGGACCAAATATCTTACAATCCAATCATACTAGATACTGTGAACGACCCGTTCTTCAAGTGCCTGAACACTGCGGGTCCCAACTTTTCGTTGGCTTGATCTACAAGATGTACAGACGTTCGATAGGACTCCTTGGACGAGGGATCGGCCTGTCGCAAGGCCTCTACCTGTACACAGGACAACACAACACAGAAAAACATCCATCGCTTGAGTGGTATTTGAACCCACGGTCCCAGCGACCGCGCGGCCACTGCGGACCCACAATCCAATCATACTCTGTATTAGTATTATTATACACACATAGCCCATTAATTGCGAAACAGGTCAAAGAGCAACATGTCCGGCAAACATAACTGTTGGCCAATGCTATTTCAAGACAGACAATGACCAGAGATTAGAATAATTGTCGTATCACGACTCCAGTATACTCCGTCAATTCCCCAGTTATAATTTTTGTATAT